TTACCAATGGTCAACGGATCGCCATAGAACTATCTATCAGCCATTTAATGGGAGATTTTCAATTACTATATGCACTCTCTGATGTAATAACTTGGCACAGCTTTTAAATTGCACTATACTCTGTGTGAGCGCATTCTAGGTTTATGCAACGAAAAACTTTAAGTGATTCCAAGTCCTTATCCTTATTGTGAATCTAGTTCAGATTTGTCAATAATCATCTTAAATTAATTCTTCTTTCATTGAAAAACCGAAAAAAATCTCATAAATATAATTTATTCATAAATAAATAAAAAAAAAATCTCTCCATTGTCTTCTCATTGATTTTCAATGTAAGAATACTTTTTTTTTTATTGGAATTTATTTCCTAAAAATTCCTCTAATATTGAGAATATTTCCCCCCCCCCTAATTCTGATTAAATTCATGTCAGTAGTGATAGTAATTTTTAGTCAGACAATATTTTATCAAATTCTTGTTTAAATTAAAATTAGTAGTGAAAATAATTTTTAGTCAGACAATTTCCAAATTCTTGATTATATATTAGTAGTAAAAGGGAATTTTAGTTTTTATTTATTATTTCCTCTAGTTCTAATATTGAAATATTCTAAATAGCAAAAAAAAAAAATTTAGTGCAAAAAAAAAAAATGTCAAAGTGATATTTCCGGTCGTGTGATTTTTTTTTTTTTATGAAGAAATACAGCTCGTTACGTATGTGGAACTACCGTTTTCACTGCATGCTAGAGTTCCTCGGACATAAGACACACGAATCTCGGGACTTATTGTGTATATATTACAACATACTGTCACGCATTTGTGGATCATTTGCCATGATTAAAGTACCTACTTGTTTCAACTTCTGCATAACAATAATTTCACCTGACATACATTTTTCCAGTTTCCCCCCAAAAAAGAAATATGCAATTTTAAAAAATAAAATACAATTTTGAAAAAAAGTTTTTAAAAAATAAATTCAATATTTTGATTGCAAAATAAAAGAAAAAAAAATCGCAAGGAGTGACCATATTGGTATAAATGTCAAAACACTTTAATAATATAGAATTATGTGATCAGTTATATTTTTAATTTTTTTTTTCGAATTTAAATATATATTATGATTTTAATTGATTTTTCCTCTTTGGCGGTTTACAATTATCTGTTTAAGAATTATTGGGTCAAATAAAATAGAAGACGTGTATTTTTTTTTCTTTTTTGAGCACATAAAGTTTCCCATATAAGTGGAGTACTTTTCTCGATAATAACGACGTAGTAACATATTCTCAGCATCCCGGGATTACGACACCCTCAGTTACAGCGGAAAGTGCCGATTTCGCCTCTGCCACTATTGTACCGGAAATTATGAGATCGATATAAATTATAGTATACTCGGGGCATATTCTGAAATATTTATTTTTCTCTTTTTCTCCATATTCGCCATTTAATATTATTTGTTTTGTAAAGTGCGGCAATTGTGATATATAAAAAAAAATATATTAGTCTATTCATAAACATAAAAGAGCACACAATATAATCTCTGATAAGGTGTAAATTTTTCGTTAAATTTATTTATTTGAGAAAAATAAAATTGATTTAAACCAAATAAAAAAATTTTTTTTTCTCCTAGTCTATAAAATAACTTTTTATTTGTTTTAGATAAAAAAAAATGTATTTATCAAAAACAAAATTTTATTTAGCGGAATTAAAATTTTTATTTAAAGCAAATAAAATTTATTTGTAACAAATGAATATTTTTTTTTGGCTCTTTATTATTTTTTTTGTTTTATATAATAAACAAAACGGATTTGTTAAGAGAATGTAAAAAAACAATTTACACTCTAACCTTGATTATGTGTATAAGCAATTTTTGTTAAAAAAAATTCGAATTTAGTAAAAGATAAAATAATCTCTTTTTCCCCGGATTACAAGTAAATGTTTATCTTACGGCCTTGGTGCATGTAATCATGTAATCGACTTCCTTCTTTTCTTTCTTCAAATTTTTTTTTTCAAGTACCGCGTTTTTTTTCGGGCTCGTGGTTTGACCTAGTCACTCAATCCTCGTATATGTACACACTTTGAAGATTACACGCGAGTAACAAAAAAAGAAGCAAATTGCATAATACTCCATTTTTTTTTTTTTTTTTTTGAGATAAAGCTCCACTTTTCTATAAATACAGAGATAAAATAACAAAAACCGTATTTAGATCACATTTTTATTTTCTTTTCAAAAAAATCCTTTTTTTAAATTCTCAACCAAAAAAAAGAAAATTAAATACTAAATTGTTTTTCGTTCTCATTTTAATTCATGTTACCTCACAGTAAACTACATCCGCAACAGATTCAAATCTTTTCATTTCACTTCGGTTACATTCTCCATTTTTTTTCTTCTTTCATTTTGTTTTTTATCTTTTTTTATTTGATTTATATTTATTTTTATTTTATTTATTTTTAATTTGATTTTAATATTTATTTATTTTTAATTTGATTGTAAACCTTTTTTTTTCTTTTTTTTTGAAATCATTATAAATTTATAACAATTATTTGAAATTGAGAAAATAATTGTAAATAGCAAACATAAACTATTGATTATTGCCATAAAGTAACGATTGTAATTATCATATTGCTTAGTTAGAATTACACAATTTATATTTTATTACTAACGAGACAAATGTTTGGAAATATTGAAAAAGTAAAATTGCCATTAATTTTAAATTAATTGATAGTTTAGTGTAGATTTTTTGTTGTTGTTGTAAATATTAGCTATATAGGAAAATAAAACTTTTCAGTTTAAAAGAAATGTTCATCGTTAATTGAATAATGTTTTATTGGGCATTCAATATTGAATATATTTCGAGAAATTATCAAGATGTAATAATTCACTTTGAGTTAGTCTAACTGGTTCTCTGTATCCATAATAGAGGAGATAGAATCAAAATTTGACATAATTAATGTTCAATAATATATAATATTAATTAATTATAATATATATATATATATATATATTGTAATTTTAGTAAAAACAATACTTTTTTTTAATTCTCATAGCAAAAAACATTTTTGGTAAGACAAAACATTTTTAAATTTCTTAATAAATTGTTTTTAGTAGTAAAAGTCATTATTAGTCAGACAAAATAATTCTGAATTCTTTTAAATTCATTATTTAATAGTAAAAATTATTTTTATTCAGACTAGATTAATTTGCGAATTTATGTTAAATTAATATCAGTAGTAAAAATCATTTTTAATCAGACAATGAATTAAAATTTTTTTTACGATTAATATCCAGTAGAGTAAGTTATATTTGGTCAGACAATATATTTCCGAATTCTTCTTTTAAAATATCAGTAGTAAAAATTATTTAGTCAGACAATGAATTCCAACTTTTTTTTACGATTAATATCAGTAGAGTAAGTTTTTTTTGGGTCAGACAAAACATTTCCGAATTCCTGTTTCAAAAATATCAGTAGTAAAAATTATTCATACTCAGACAATGATTTCAAAAAAAAAAAAATTACCTGTATTAAAATAAAAAAATAAGTACCATATAATGTCAAATTAATTTTCAATTAAAATTCTTAAAAAAAATCGCGTTTTAATAATTAGGCGCGCCCTCATATAAAAACAACTTTGATTTAAAATATTTGTAATAAAATTAAGAAAACATGACAAGCGTATTTCTATATATGAAAAAAAATTACCAGTTACTCGCGGGTGTTCAATTATTGATCTACATTCACACGGTACACTTGACGTGATAAATGTAATTGTAATTGACATGATTGCTACACGATGTATATATACATATAAATATAAACATAATGTTTTATGTTCAAGAAAAGTTTCACACTGAAAAAAAAGGTAACAGCCATTCACGATTGGGACAAGGTTTCACGTGATGTTTGTTTAGCTTGGTGTGAATCGGTGAGAGGTGAGATGAAATCTGTCTTTAATGGATTTCAAAGTCTCGCGCTCACAGTACCATAGTTAAAAAGCGATAACGAGACTTCAGTTCGATTGCATTTTTTTTCTAATTTCAAAAGTTCAAACATCAATATGATTTATTGACCCTCATATATTTGAATAACTTATCCCTTTTTATTACCAATTGTCAATGCGCACTTTTTTTTGTTTTTTCATTTGTTTAAAATTTCATTATCACTAATGAAATTACCATTTATTATCATTTACCTATCGTTAATGTTGAAAATAGCAAAAATTGTTTGGAAAAAAAAATTTATTTTTCCGTAATTGTAATTTACAATTTACTTAAAAATAAAAATAAAAAATTATAATTTTAATTAACTAAAAATAGATACTAATTATAAAAATTTTTTAAATTTTATTTTTAAGTATCTGCAGTTAAATTTTTTTTTTAAATTTATTTAATACAGAAAATTATATAAATTTTTAGAAAAAAAAAAAAATCTGCATACATAAAATTTGATTTTGAGGTGACATTTGAAATGAAAGAATTCTGAATTTAAATTGAATAATAAGGAAACAGGTCGTCTAATAGTTTCACTATTTTGTAAAAACCTATATAAATTCATGAGTGCTTTCTCACAAGAAAGTGCGGGTATATTTAAATTCAGTGTAGTTACTCTGAAAACTGGATCTAATATAAATTTCATGACATTTTCCTAAAGGCGTCAAGAATGGGATATTCTTATTGCGCGGCATCAATTTATTAAATATATGAAGAGAGAGAGAGAGAGAGAGAGAGAGAGAGAGAGAGAGAGAGAGAGAACGAAAAAAAACTAAACCGAAAATTTATATTTCCAATAAATTGTGATGAATACTTTCATTACACTAAAATATTACTTTATTTTAAGTATAATTAAAACTATATTTACAGGAAAAAAAATAAGAAAAGCAGCAGAAAAAAATATAAATTTGTAGTTATTATTATTATACTGTTAATAATAATAATAATAATAATATTTTATTATTATTGTTTAATCAATTTGGAAATTTAATATAAAATGAAAATTTATTTTATCTTTTTTAGGAGATTAATGGAAAAAGGCTCTTCAGTACCGTGGCAGCAGACTTTAGAAGAAGCTACAGGACAATTTCGATTGGATGGCGAAGCGGTGAGAGAATATTTTAGACCACTTGAAGAATGGCTGAGATCAGAAAATTTAAGAACTAGAGAACTCGTTGGATGGACTTATGGTATGTAAAATGTATAATATTCAAAATTTTAAAATCTCATGAAAATTCCTCGATAAATTTATAAAACATTTCAACATTAACTTTAATAACTTTGTTAGAGTAACTTTGAAATATTCTAAAATTTATAATCTTTTTGAAATTAACATATTATAGAATGTAATTAATCTCTTTTCCCCTGATATTTTATAATTTTTTTTTTCATTAGGTATAATGAATTTTTAATATAGTTAAAAACTATTTATTATATGTTTTAATTTTGAATTCAGTAGTGAATGCCATTTTTAGTCAGACAATAAATTTTTCCGAATTCTTATTAACTCTCGTATTATTAGTAAGTTAATTTTTTTGTATTTGTATTTTTTGTTTTGCAAAAACTATGGAATTTGTCAAACATTATATTTCTTTATTTTAGGCAAATTTTTAGAAGTAGTAAAAGTCATTTTTAGTCAGACAATTGTTGAATTCTTGTTAAATTAATATTAGTAGTGACAGTCACTTTTAGTCAGACAGAGAATTATAATAATTGTAAAATTTTAAATAGTAACGGAAATTTTTGTCAGATAACACAATAAAAATTCTAATTTTGTTAAATTAATTATTAGTAGTAGTAGACAGTTTTAATCAGACAATGCATTTCTAAATTTTTATAATTTTGTTGTCAGTGGTAAATATCATTTTTAGTCAGACAATGAAATCTCTCCAAATTCAATATTAGTAGTAACGGGCAATGCATTTGAAAATTTTTGTAATTTTGATGTTACTAGTGATAGTCATTTTTAGTCAGACAATAAATTCATTAATTCAATTAAATTAATTATTAGTAGCAGCAGAAACAATTTTAGTCAGACAATGAATTTCGAATTTTTTTAAAAATTTTGTTGTCAGTAGTGAATACAATTTTCAGTCAGACAATAAATTTCCTATTTAATTATTAGTAGTAACAGACAATTTTAGTCAGACAATTCAAAATTCTTATAATTGTAATGTCAGTAGTGAAAGGCAGTTTTAGTCAGACATTTACTTTTAACAAATTCTTCAAATTTTTCTATTAGTAGTAAATATCATTTTTAGTCAGACAATACAATTGATGTAATAGTTGATGTAATAGCACCTCATTTTGTAAAAAAAAAAATTTATATTATTTTCACAAGAAATATTGAGATTCAACCCGTGGAATTCTGGGATTACGAAATAGGTTTCTGTGTATAGGAGAGAAAAAAAAATAAAAAAAGAGAGAGAGAGAAAGATCTCGAGGCGAAAGAACAAGAGGAAGAATAAGATAAAAGCGAAACTTTAGCTCGTCTCGTTTTCTTATATTTATATATATATATATATATACGTTTAAATGCACACTCGTTCATCTTGATTCACTAACAGCGACAATTAATGCAACGCGTATCTCCGCGAAGCCTTTCTAATTATCGTACGATCTGCACTTCTTGGACGTTTAACGATCTAAGAAAGTCATTTATCCAAGTTCTCGTTACATTGCGATTTGTATAATGCCATGTTTTTATAAGATCGATTTTTTTCCTCCTCTTTGAGATTATCGATCTTATATTAAATTGATGAATTATAATTTTAATAATATGGAAATTAATTTTAAAATGCTTAATTATAAAATACATTAATTAAGTATAAAATTAATTATCATGCTGGCAATTATTACAATAATCCAAAATTAATTCAATATTACTTTATTATTATCATTAGTCTTTTAATAATTATTGTTATTATTATAATAATAATAATTATTATTATTATTCGTATCACTATTATTATTTATTAGTCTTTTTTTGTATGGGCTTTAGAATCGAAATAATAATTTGAACAAACATTCCCGTGTAGAAATTTCCCTACCAGGGCCCTGGTAGTGAATAATAATCTGGTCCCGATCAGGGACTGTTCAGGGCCAGATTAGGGCCACGAGAAAAACGGGGATTTCCTAATCAGGGACACATCAGGCGTAGCGTCACATTCCCGCCCGATCCGGCCCCGATCCGAGCCATGGCAAAATTTCTACACGGGTTTCGGCAATTTTTTTTTTCGCATCTTAAATACACTTTCAAAGATTAATTATTTAATTATAAAAACCCACTTCGAAAGATTCCCCGGAAAGTGGCCTCTGGAGGTTCTATCAGTATTCCGTCGGAATTCCATCGGAGTTCTAAAGAATTTCCGATGGGATTCCGACGGAATTCCGATTAATTTTTTCAAAATTTGTAGAGTTCTAATTCCGTCGGAATCCCATAGGAAATTCTTGGAACTCCAATGGAATTCCGAAGGAATTACGTTGGAAGTTCCGGCGGAATTCTGATCAGGGGGCACTTTTCGGGGAATCTTTCCAAGTGGGAATTGAATTTGATTTCTAAAGATTCAAAGATAAAAAATTTATATTGAAAGAAAAAAAAATTAATTTAATGTCAGCAAATTGGAAAACTTAAAAGTTATTTTAAACAATCTTTGCAATGTAAACTTTTGTTCTTTTTCTCTATTCAATTATTTTCAAACCATAAGGAAATTTTAATAAAAAATTTAAAATTCGTTTCAAAATTGTATTTTGAAAAAATTTTTTACACTGAACAAAAACTTTCAATTAGGTTTTTTTTTTTGGGGGGGGGGGGGAAAGTAATTTTTTTCGTAGGTCACCGAAAGTGTATATGAACAACAAGTTTCATAACATTTATTATAATATAGAGAGTGAGATAAAAGAATAGAAATTTGAATTCAATATGCAAAAGGGATATATATAGTGAATAAAATTCAATAATAAAATTAGATTACACGTTTTGTTTGCGGTAGGAAAAAAAATTGTAAATAGTATATATATATAGACACTTGAATTGTTACGAGGAAAGACGCATGAGAAAGAAAACTATATAATAGACAACTTGTGCAATCATACGAACACTTAACAAAGTGAAGCGTAAAAGAAGTTTGGCATAAAAACAATCTAAAGGATTCATATGTTGGTTACGTAAAATAAATAAATATATAAGGCTTTTAATCGAGTAACCAGATTTATTGTTCATTGCAGGATAACTCGCGTCTATGCCATCGTATAGACCAGATCATTTAATTACTTCAAAGCACTTACAGATAATTGCGTCTCTACATTATATATACATATATACGTCTCTCCTTTCTCCTCAAGATGTAAATGTAAATCGGGGTATATATAATATGGAACCATCGCAATTTATGCGTTCCCTCTGTTCTCGAATGCTTACATCAACAAAAAAATTTTTTTTCTTACATAAAATTAAAAATAAACGTGCTGAAACTATCACTGATATATATATATATAACATTTTTTTTTAACCCATTAAGATCCCTTTTCTTATGGAGCGTCACATATTATTATATGATTTTATATTAACACAGAAAATTATAAGGTATTAAAATAAGCAAAAATTGGATTAAAATAATAAGCGTTACAGCTTATTTTAATGCCTTTTAATTTTCTCTGAAATCAAAAAAAAAAAAAATTTATTTTCCACCCTCTGGAAAATTATAAATTTTTTTTCCTGTTTTGCATTCGTAAAGACGAACTTTGCCTTATCATATAATGTGAAATTAACATAGACAAAAAAAATTTTAAATTAAAACATTGTTCGTGCTTAAAATTTTTATTACCATATTATTACAGTTAAAATTTTAATCTCCCTATAGTGAATTATTCTTTTAAAAAATTCTTTTAAAAAAAAAGAAAAATGTTTTTTTCACAAGTGTGGAATTTATTTTCCATTTACAAAAATAAAACTAAAATCAATTCTTTAAAAAAAAAAAAAGTTTGTTTTTGGCACATTTCCAAAATCAATGACAAAGGTAAAAATCTGTCTCTTCATTCCTAATATAGACAACATGTGTACGTGTATATATAGATTACAAACGTGAACTGCAAATAGAAAGTGCTAGCTACCACTCTAGGTTTGCAATCGAGGAAATTCATGCTGATTAAGTACAAGCATGTACGACATATGTATATCAATTTCTATACATATATATATATATATATATGAACTGATTTATGTTTCAGATGGTGACTATTGCAAGCTCAGCATAGAAACTGCAGGTCTCGAGGTATCCGGTAGTGGCTATTATTTTGCGGCAGCAACTTCCATTAAATGTGACAATATCCTTGCAATTCTAATTTTAAACATCATGATCGTATTTCGACTGCTCTAAAAAAAAATTTTTAAAGAATTTAAAAAAGCTCTATACCTTATAATTCACAATTATTTTGGGATGCTTTTTTTCAAAAAAAAAAAATTAAGAAACAAGAAAAACAATAAAATTTGAATATTTGGACCATATTTTTTGTGTATGATAATAGGTAGGGTCGGAATGCGGAACATGCATGTTGTACAAATCGTGACATTAATTCTGTCGCAAGCCAAACCAATATTACTGGTGAACGTGTCATTATATACTCCTTCCTGGAAAGACAAACTCGAATGTGCCTTTATATTCGCAAATTTTTTTTTTCTTACCAAAGAAAAGGAAAAAAAAGTATATAAGAAGTAGATTTTCATTTGTATACGCAAAAAACGAGTGTTGAGGAATTATAATTTAATAATAAATAAAAAAAATACTCGTTTTTAATCAGCGATTAAAATTTTAGAAAATTTATATATATAAAAGCTCGAAAATAATAAACTAAATTTGAATTAGTGAGAACTAATTTAAATTAAAAAAAAAAAAATTTTTTACTATCACAGAAAATTAAAAGGCATTAAAATTAGCTGCAACGCTTATTATTTTAATCCAATTTTGCTTATTTTAATTTATTTTGTTATTAAAATAAGCAAAATTGGATAATAAAAAAAAATAAACAGTGCAGCTTATTTTAATACCTTTTAATTTTCTGTGATTTTTTAAAAACTTTTTAGTAAATTTTTACTAAAACTTTTTAGTAAAAGAAATATTACTAAATTAGTAATAATTCTAACTAAAGTAACATTTTAGAAAAAAAAAAATTAGTGAAAATTTATAATTAGTTTTTAGGCATTTTTCACTAAAAACTGCAGTAAAAAAAATACCATTGATTTAGTAATACTTTCATTAAAATTATTATGAATATTTTACTAAAAATTAGTGAATATTTCTACTAATTTGAATTTTACTTAATAAATTCTCTCTAATTCAAATTTAGAAAATAATAATAATTCCCCATCGTCGGATATTAATTGACTAAAAGTATAATTTTTTTTCAACTTTTATAAATGCCAATAAAATTCATAAACAAAGAAGTTTCATAAAAAAAAAAAATTAATCAGAACTTTATTATGAGATAAAAGGGGGGAAAAAAATTCAATTATTTCAACTTTTACATTTTCTTTGCCTAATTTCCGACGATAATCTGCTGTCAAGTTTAAAATCATAAAAAAAAATTCTTCTGCTCATTTTCATAACTAATTTTCTATTATATATATGTATAAAAATTATTTACTTTTGTGTAATGTAGGCGAGTTTAATTCGCTTTGGAATTATTTCATGTAACCAATGAATGCATTCTTGAATCAATGAGTATTTATTTTATCAGGATATATGTATACGACTGTTTAGCTAGAGGCAGTTTTTTTATTTATTTATTTTTTTTTTTTTTGCTTGCCTTTGCGAAATTTGTTCCTGCGTGCGGATCATTAATTTACAAAACAGTCAATACATGGTAATTTATCACTTTGTGATTTACAATTTTTATAAGCAAGCTTCAACGATATTTACACTTTTTTTTTTTTTGGGTGAAATATGTAAAATCTGTGACAAGTGCTAATTATTTAAGTTATTATCTATTTTAAGTATATTATTTTTAAAGAAATGTCATATATATATAATCGACTAGTTACGTTCTTTTAAATAAATGTTGTTAAAATACAAATATTTTTTCTTTTTATTGATCCTTATACAGTAGAATTTCTAAATATGTTTCGTTACATTTTAATTGGCAAAATATAAATGTAAACTATTAATTTAATAATAATTAATAATTCTTTAACGTTTTCATTTAAATTAATTCATTTAATTGTTTTCATCGATTTTTATTTGGTAACTTGTATTTTGTTTATTATTTTATTTATTGTATTCATTTTGTTTTTATTTATTTTTTAATTTTTCTATATATTAATTAATTTTATTTATTGATTTATATTTTTGTTAATTGTTCTTGTATAATTTTGTATGTATATATTTTTATTTATTTATTCAATACTCCCCTAATAACACAAGATATCTTGGGATATATTGATAATATCCCGCAGATATCCTAGAGATGTCCTATGGATATCAAAAGGATCTCTTAAGGATATCCAAAAAATCGGCGGTTTGTATATGCTTTGGATATCCCATGGATATCTTCTGGATGTCTCTATAGACTTTCATAAATGTCCTCCAAATATCCCATAGATATCGTCAGGATATCCCACAGATATTTTCAGGATATTCTCAGTATATCTTCTGAATGTCAAGAAGATATTTTCAGGATATTCTCAGTATATCTTCTGAATGTCAAGAAGATATTCTCAGAATACTGTTTTTAAAGTCAATATAAGACTACGAGTGAGAATATTCTGTGAATTAAATTTTATATATATAAAAAAAATGCAACTTGTTTTTCGAGAAAGTTGTTTGATTTGAAAAATTATTAACTAATTTTTTTCTCATTCGTGATTCATTCTTTTATTCATATGCTTAATATTGTCAGAAAATAAATTGGCTTTAAACAATATAAATTCTTCCCCGCAAATAACGAATAACTATTAATATTAATTATACATTAAGTGCATAAGTTTATTTAAAAACTTTGAAAAATGCGTTTCAAATCTTCATTTAAAATAAATTAGAAGCTCATAAGATTTTTGTTTTTATTATATTATTATTCATTATATTAGCTTAACAATTTTAACCTTTAAAAATATATGTTGAGATATTAAATATCCCGTGAATATCTTAAGAATATCCCACGGACATCCTGAGGATATCCCATGGATATCCTGCGATATAATATCCAATAGATATTTTGTGGATGTCTTAGGCATATCCTGTGGATATCCTATGGATGTCCTGTTGATGTCCCACAGACCGGCGGTTTGGATATCCTAGAAATATCCTATGGATATCCCAAGATGTCCTGGGGACCATTCTAGGATATTGACCATTGATATGGATATCCTAGGGATATCCTTTTGTTATGAGGGTCTGACTACCTTTTGAATTTTTGTTATTTGAAGTTTGTAATAGTCTTCGTCTCATATTAATTTAATTTCTTTGTATTTTTGTTTGTTGTTTTTAATTTTTTATAATTTTTGTATTACTAGACTCCCTGAAGAGGAAATCAGTGTGATTTCGAAACGTTGAAGAAAATTTGATTAAAAAAATCCATTTGTCCGAATGTTATCGTTTTTTGTTGCTTAACCTATTAAATATTAATTTAATATTAATTTCTTATTATTATTATTAATAATATTATTATTTTTTTACTTTTATTATTAATATTATTATATAATTATAATTATATAATAATAAACGAAACTTATTATTTTTTGTAACAAAAAATTTCTTTGTTGTTTAAATGTTTACTTGATTTTTGTTGTAATTTTTTTTTTTTTTAAAAAAAGATTCAGCACAAATAAAATATATGTATATTTATTTATTTTGAAATACGTCACGTGAACAATGACTTGACCGTTTTTGAATACAAGTTCTGCCTTCTCTGCACCAAAAGCGCAAACAAGAGAAAACGAAAGAGAGATGATACATTTCTCTCTCTTTTTTTTTAGAAGAGTGAACTTCGTTTTCCGCCAATTACCAACGTCGAAAAAAGCAGTGAACACACTTCAATGAAAAAAGAGGAAAAAAAAATATGACAAAGTCACTCAAAGGCCTTCCAACGCTCATATACGAATATCGCATTTTACCTCTGTGAAAAGCACATTTTTACTCCTTCATCAAGGATTACTTTCTTCTCAAAAAGTTATAATAGAGCTTTCACTGAAAAAAAGTACACATTCAAATAGCAGCATTAGAAAATATCCTTACTATACAACTGTCATAAGTAGGTTATTCAGATTTTTTTTTTTTTTTTTTTTTTTTTTTGTTTCAAAAAAAGTAACATTTTTTGAAAATAATTTGAAAAGAAAAAGTTTTCTTTACAATTAAATAATAATTAAATAAAATATTATTAATTATTCATAATATCTTAATTATTCAATTTTAACATTTAATTATAAACTTTCATAATTTCCAAATTTAACAATAATATATTTGTACATTGAAACAATAGAAAATTATTGATTTAGTCGCGCGATATGAAGACAAGTGGGTTATTTGAAATGTCACGAGACGTTTGAAAATTAATTATGCATTTTGTATGAGCGCCGTTTTGAAACTGCTCATAAATTATTTTTAAATGAAAACAAACAAAAAAAAAAATAATATTCAGCTCGCTTATTTGTCTATTTGATTATGGAAATATAATATCGAATAAGGAAGAGGATAATAATGAAGATCAATTTAAAGATAGAAAATTATGTCTGGCCAGTGTGCAAATTGTGTCGCCGTTCCTTGTAATTTTGATATTTGCAAAAGAGGAGAATTTTTTTTTTTTTTTTAAGTCAACATTATAGACAATAAAGGAGAAAGCAAATACTATTATATGCGAACTTTAGCATTTTATATATAAGCGGCGATTTGATCAAAACTTTTAATATCGTCCGACAAAAAAGGCGACGATGAATAATTTTTGCAAATTTCATCTAATTCGAATGGGATTTTTTTTTCTAGAATATAAATGATTTTAAAATGAATAAATCAAAATAGAAATTCAAAACTATTTTTTTTATTAATCTAACATTGGAAAATTAATATTATAAACAAGTTTGAATTTCAATAATGACAATTTCCTTAGCGAACGTCCTTGGTTAGGTGGCTATGTTATTGACATGCGAACTCTAGGGTCTTGGGTTCAATTCCTGCCGCTTGAGAAATTTTTCTCTCTTAGTTATAGATAAAAAATACCATTTAGAAGATTCTTAATTAAACTAATTATTATAAATAATAAAAATAATATGTAAATAATTAATAATTACATTATAATAATATTAGTAATTAATAATAATAATATATAAATAATATGAATAATATAAATAAAAATATAACTAAAAAAATTAAATTATTAAACAAAACTCTGATATTAAAAAAAAAACCAGAAACAATGGAAATAATGATAATAAATAAAGATAGTGGTTTCAAATAAACAGAATTGTTAAATTAAAATTATTAATTTAGTTATAATTAAAAATTAAATATTTGTTCACACGATTATATTGTCATGTGTGAAAAATTTGATTACTACAAAATTTGTTTCGCTAAAAATCTTTATCGTTATATAAAAAAGTAATTATGAAATACATATATATATATATATATATGTCGTTACGTTAAAAAATGTACCAATTTTCAACAGGACATTTAAATCCAATTAAATGAAAAACTAATTAAGACAAAAAAATAACGAGTAACGTGATAATAATTAAAAAGAAATTAAATGACATAAAAATGTAATTAGAGGAAAATTTTCCAGTGTTATCCGAAATGTAAACTAGTTTTGCAATTTTGCAATCACATCCTGTCAAATTTAATTTCAGCTTTGACAGAACATACCGTGACAGGTGTCAATTTTCTAAAAAAAAAAAAAAACAAAAATGTATTCCTTCACAAAAGAATTATTTCTATTTTATAAAATTAATATCAATAATTTTTTATAAATTTTTTTTTTTTTTTTATTGTATACAATATTAGACATTATTTTTTTTACAATTTTTCTCCGCTAATTCATTGCATAAATTTTTAATTAACACGAAGTATGCATATAAGGAAAGAAAATCCTTTTAAAGAAACGTAAAAAAAAAAAAAAAAAAAATTCAATAAATATAAATTGGCAGAAGTAAATGGTTTTTTGATTAGATTAAATCATTGAGCATAATGGTAAAATTCACGAGTCATGAAACATGTGTGATGAAGCGCTAATTGTTGCATTGATTAAACACTCACCATTCTAGGTATGATCAAGTGTAATCAAATCGTGAGAAAACTGCTACTTGCGTTACGCTTTCGTAATTGAGATTTGAAATTTGTCGAGAAAATCATGCGATAATTTTATATATATACTATCAAAAACAATTTTTTACTCGAAAAAAATATCTTTTCTTTTTTTTAATATATTAGAGAGAAAGAAAGAGAGAGCTTAGAAAAAAAATATTATTCTTTATAAATAAATTGACATCTGTCATGAAAGTTCTTGTTTCAGGGTGGAGAGAACATTGCAAATTAAAGTGCATTGCAGAAGTTAATTTCAAATTGCAAACGGTTCAATTTAAGGTTAAAGGAAAAGGAAGTTACGAAGTCGTATATATATATATATATATATATATATATATATATATATATATATATGCCAGTAGCTAAATTTATAATTATATTTGCGGTTCTAATTATCCTCGCGCGATCCCTGAGCGAATGAAATTAGAAACTTATCCCTATTAAAATTTATTTCAAAAAGTGACAAAATTACTAAATACAAAAATTATTCAAATTTTTTTTTATTTAATTTTTTGCAAAAATTTACTTTTTTGGCAAAAAAAAAAATTGTTTTAATTAAAAGTGACCATTCTTAGACGTTAAAGTCATCATCCGGGTTTATTTCTATATTGCGTGTAAGAACGAAATAGATTGCTGTACCAATCATCTCATTATGAGATGGAGACGAGTATAGTCGGCGGAACTGCGTCCCATAGAGTTGCCGGTAGCATCTGCTTAAACCAGAATTAATGTGATATTTTGCGGGATATACGATCCATATATATATATATACTCCATAACATCAAGGGTGCTTGAAGGACAATTGTCCCTATAATTTAATATCCCAGTCCCACGAAACTTGCACTTGAAAAAATTATACGATACCCAGAAAAATGGTTCATAAAAAAAAAACGACGAAATATTTTATTTTTAAATAAATAAAAATATAAACGAAAAGATAAATAAAAATATAAATTAAAAATACAAAAAAAAATACAAAAATAATATAGATAAAGAAATAGAAGAAATGAAGAATTGAAGAAATAAAAGAAATTCTCAATGAAATATCGAAATAAAATGAACGAATGGAAAATGGAAAAATAACATAAATGAAGAAAAAGAAAATGGAAAAAAGTAAAACGATGTTTTCCGAACTCATTATATTTTACCCGTGTTCTCTGGCTAGGAAACATTTGAAAAAGAGAAAACAAAAGATGCGGAGAATTCTTGGTTTTATATATATATATATATAGGAGAGACAAAAGTTTTTGAGTATTCAGTTGAGGTACTTGTGAGGTTTACAGCGAACGAGGTATATAAGAGCTTTTCGCTTATAAGAACGAAAGAATATTTCAATAAGACTCTTAGGGAAACCATTTGGAACAAAGTAAAAGTATTACACATTGACTTTTTTTTCTCTATTTATTTTAAGCGAAGAACACACGCTTATTTTTAGTTTAAGTTCAATCTAAGAGAGTAAATAAAAATAATATCGAGAAAATAAAAATCTATATACTTCTCTTGTTTCATCATTGAAATTTACTGTCAGTGAATAATTTTAAATTAAAGAGGAAAATATCAAACAGAAAACTAATAAATAAAAATGCTTTTTAACAAATTAATCTCAACGTTCTTTCGTTTCATTTAACGTGATATTTGTGATATTTTTTTAATAATCAAAAAAAAAAAAAATCACAAAAGACTCTCTTTCCATTTTTATAATTTTTAATTAACACATTTACATTTGTTTTTTATTTTTTAATGAACTTTTAATTTAATTTATTTTCATACTGATAATTCTTTTGAATCATTGAAAAGATTAAAAATTAGTCATGTGTCTGGAACACAAATATATATATATATGTGCGAATATAATTTTGAATAAGCCGTAAAACTAATTTTTTATTATTAAAACATTACTTATTGTTAATAAATTTAAATATATTAATACAAAAAAATAAAAAATAATTTCAAATTGTTTATATAGTTAAAAAAAAATTATTTTTATTTGTTATTAGGATTGTTATCACAGTCAAGTGGGTGAATACATTTGCCATTTGTGTTTCTTCGAATGAAACCAGGTCGACAAATACAACGTGGAAATATTCCCTGAAAAATAGAATTTTTAATGTTTAATTAAAGAATATGTGAAAATTATAAGTATAAAAATAATTTTTCATCAATTATTTCGATTGTTGTTCATTAATAATAATTATAATAATTGAAAATCGAAAAATAAAAAAAAAAAATTTTTTTTTTTAAATTACCATTTTACAATTTTTTTCATTCATATCTCTTCCAAATAATGTGTCACAAGTTACATCACAATCTGATGTCCATGCAGCATCAATTAAAAATTCCTGACTGTCATCACATTTCTCCTCACTATAGAATTTATCTTCATTATCCCATTGCTCATTATCTTCATCCGAAGTTTCAATTTGCGAAACTTAAATTTTATATAAAATTAAAAAAAAAAATCAGTATCTAAAAAATTTTTTAGAAGATAGAAAAAAAAGCAAAAATGAATAGAATAGAAAAACGCTAAGTGCAAGTAGAACAAGTAAATTTTAAGTCAGACATACTTAAAAAAAATTTTTTTAACTTCAATTTTACACATTTATTATATTTTACAAAATTTCTTACTTCACGTATTATTAATCCCTCAATTGAGAGATATTTTTATGATTAAAATTTGTACTTACTCGATGAAACACTTAATAAAAGAATGAGAAAACAAAATATCGTCATTGTCATAAACAAATGAGATATGTTATGAAAATTGACAGAGAATGTAGTGTGTAATATTAATTTTTTCTTTTTTAATCGAACAAAATGACGAATCTTTTATAGATCGTTAAATGAAATCTTATCAGGCGAAAAATAAATTTATTTTTATAATCTCCAGCCATAACATGAGAAATAACACTCTGATGAAAATTGATTCATCTGCTTTTGTCTTATTGCGCATGTAAAAATTTAAAAAAAAATGATTATTGTACCATCTTTTTACAATAATTCATAATTTATTATTTATTATTTAATTTTAAAAATTATTTATATTTTTTTATATTATTACTACAAATTTTTATGATTAGTATTATTGTTGTTGTTTTTTTTTATTCTTTTTTATAATTTTTATGACTTTTTGTTCATTTTTATGGTTTTGTTGTTCCTCTTCGTTCCTTTTTTTTTGTTCTAGTTGTTGTTTTTCTTGTTCTTCTTCATTTTTACTCATATTTTGTTGTACTTTATATTCTTGTTGTTGTTCTTGTTTTTCTTCTTTCCTTCTTTATATTATTGTTGTTGATCTTGTTCCTCTTGTTCTTTTTCATTGTTATTTATATTTTGTTGTTCTTTACATTCTTGTTGTTGTTCTTGTATTTCTTCTTGCCCTTTTTGTTCTTGTTGTTGTTTTTGTTCCTCTTCTTGTTTTTTTGTTCTTTTTCATTGTTATTCATATTTTGTTGTTTTTTACATTCTTGTTGTTGTTTTTGTATTTCTTCTTGCTTTTTTTGTTCTTGTTCTTGTTTTTCTTCTTTCCTTCTTTATATTCTTGTTGTTGTTCTTGTTCCTCTTTTTCTTTTTCATTGTTATTCATATTTTGTTGTTCTATACATATTTGTTGTTGTTCTTGTATTTCTTCTTGCTTTTTTTGTTCTTGTTCTTGTTTTTCTTCTTTCTTTCTTTATATTCTTGTTCTTGTTCATCTTTTTCTTTTTCATTGTTATTCACATTCTTGTTGTTGTTCTTGTATTTCTTCTTGCTTTTTTTGTTCTTGTTGTTGTTTTTCTTCTTGTTCTTTTCGTTCTTCTTTATTTACTTGTTGTTGTTCTTGTTCCTCTTCTTGTTTTTCTTGTTTTTTTTCTTTGTTATTCATATGTTGTTGTTCTTTACAATCTTGTTGTTGTTTTTGTATTTCTTCTTGCTTTTTTTGTTCTTGTCCTTGTTTTTCTTCTTTCCTTCTTTATATTCTTGTTGTTGTTCTTGTTCCTCTTTTTCTTTTCCATTGTTATTCATATTTTGTTGTTCTTTACATACTTGTTGTTGTTCTTGTATTTGTTCTTGCTTTTTTTGTTCTTGTTCTTGTTTTTCTTCTTTCCTTCTTTATATTCTTGTTCTTGTTCTTGTTCTTCTTTTTCTTTTTCATTGTTATTCATATTTTATTGTTCTTTACATTCTTGTTGTTGTTCTTGTATTTCTTCTTGCTTTTTTTGTTCTTGTTGTTGTTTTTCTTCCTGTTCTTTTCGTTCTTCTTTATTTTCTTGTTGTTGTTCTTGTTCCTCTTCTTGTTTTTCTTGTTCTTTTTCATTTGTTATTCATATTTTGTTGTTCTTTGCATTCTTGTTGTTGTTCTTGTATTTCTTCTTGCTTTTTTTGTTCTTGTTGTTGTTTTTCTTCTTGTTCTTTTCGTTCTTCTTTATTTTCTTGTTGTTGTTCTTCTTTTTGTTTCTCTTGTTCTTTTATTTTTAGGGTTCTGTACTCGGTTCTTTTCTTAAATTTTACAAAATTGTTCCTTTTTGTATCACTTATATTATTTAAAATACAAAACATATTTAAAATTTTTTTTTGTTTTTATACCAAAGGAGGAACAATTTTCTGAATTTTTTTTAAAAAAATTGTTCTTTTTTTGTATCACATATATTATTTAACATACAACACATATTTTTTAAACATTTGTTTTTATACCAAATAAGTTCGCTTCGAGTACGGAACCCTCGATTTCAGTGCGAGTGTAATTCGCACTTGTCCGATTTTTATTCTTCTTCTTCTTTTGAGTTAAAATATTACTGTGAAAAATAATTCGTCGCATTTAGAATTAGAAGAAAAAAATTTTTAATTAACTTTCCAGTAATTAATTCAACAATTTACAAAATTAAGGAACTCATAAACGAAATAATTAATTTCAAGAACATCTCACAGAGTATTTTCATTGAAAAACCACTTCATTACAAATTAAAATTCTCCTATTATCTTAAACTAGACAACTGAATTATATAATTTTATTACTATTATTATAATTATTTAATCACTAATAAATTAATCCTTTGAGAGGCAAATATTTTTTTTTTTTTTACTAATATTTACTAATACTACTTTTACTAATATTAATTAATAAATTAAAAACGCATTGAAATGTATATTATTATTATTATAATTAGATTTTAATTATTATTTTATATAATTGGATTTTTAATAATTGGAGAATAATAATTAATTTAGAGAAAAGTTTGTATATAACAAAATTGAATGAATAGATGAACAAACTGATTATTTATAAGAAAAGCGTTGCCATTATTTGAAGAGTTAAGATCGAGTCAAAGCTCATTTTGAAAATGAGATTTTGGTCCGCAGATAAGCGAAAAGTTTAGCGAAATAATTAAGCAAGTCTATTGTCTCGATTAGGACTTTATTAAATGTTTCTCTCTCTCTCTCTCTCTCTCTCGCTCTCATTGTCTCTCTTGTATTCTAGTTTATTTTCACATTCAATTCGTAAACTCTCTTTCTCTCTCCCATCATGTGACTCTGTAAATGTCAAAGCCGAAGCCGGTTGGCGAGTCGACAGAAGTGCTTCACTCGACCAACCTCCACAACTTCCTCCCACCCCCGAACGACGATTCTTTACCCTACGCGAGGGTCGGAGTTCATTGTGCTAGGAGTTGCATTCCGCGTAGCGACGGCGTCAATTGATGCGACACACGCTCGTCCCTGAGTGAGTGAAAGAGAAAGAGAGAGAGTGAGAGAGAGCAAGCAAGTAGTTCTCCAACATCCGGTCTCCAAAAAGCAACTTGTCCACTTCATTTTTCTTGCTCCGTAAAATGACCCGCATATAATTTTGTGTCTCGACAATTCATATTTGTATTATACGGGTTTAATTTTTTCATTTTACACATCACAATTCAAAAACTAATATTAATTTAAAAAAAGGAAATTATACTTAATTTTGAATAAATTTCTTTTCATTTCTAAGTATTGGAATTTATTATTTTAAAAAAAAATAAAATTGATTCACGGGCATTTAATGTCGATAAAATGTCATATGGGTGCGGATCAAAGACACTCATCGAGAAACACGTGAGTGAATGGAAGTGAAGTTTTCCTCTTCCGTGATTTATATATATATATATATATATATATATAGTGAATGGCCCGTGTTGACTATTATTTATTACGTGAATCGTGATTGGTGATTTGGATTTCCACCACGGTGCATTGTAGATAAATAAACGTTTAAAAAAAAAAAAAAAAAAACCAAAAAGAGATAGTGAATTTTTACAAGGTAACTTTTTTTCAAACTTTTTCTACGCTTGAGTATATTATTTGTAAAACGGAAATTTTATTTTTTTCTCAAAAAAGGGTTTACGAATAAAGGAAAATAAAATTCTTTTTTGGAAATGAAAAATAAATCTGAATTTCTAGTTTCCAGTTTCGTCTAAAAAGTGAAATTTATAATACTTGAGATTAATATTTTTTATATTAAATATTTGTCAAAAAAAATTCTGTATGCAAATATTTTGTAATTGAATAATTTTTTGAAATAGAAATAATATTTTGCTATTTAGAATTATTATTACCGGTTTTTTTTTGGTTCAAATTTTGTAAATTTTTCCCGTTTATCAAAGTTTTTATTTTTTAATTTTTGCAATACTTTCCTTTTTTTTGTTGTTGTTTTTTCTGCTTTCCAAATTTGAATTTGGAAAAATTTTAACTAATTTGAACAAGTGACTTGTTTTTTGCCTTTGAATATGTTAAATTTTATTAATTTTTATAGTAAAAAATTTTTATTCACTAATTATTAGTAAAAATTTAACTAATTCAAAAATAAACAGTGAGTTTCTTATTCAAATTAGTTAAAATTTTTACTAATTCAATAGTAAAATTTTGTTTTACTAATTTTGGTAAAATTTTATTAATTCAAAGGCAATAACAAATTCAAATTATTTAAAATTTTTATCAATTCGATAGTAAAATTTTGTTTTACTAATTATTGGTAAAATTTTATTAATTCAAAGGCAAACAAATTCAAATTATTTAAAATTTTTATCAATTCAAATTTAGAGAGTGTCCATTTGTTATTTCTGTTTCTATAATTTCTTTTTGTATTATGTCAAAAATTTTTTTTCTTCCCCTTTTATAAATTTCAATTTTTTTTCTAGATATTTTTTTCTTTTTATATTTATTTATAAAAAATAATTTACACTCTCTTTCATTAAAAAGGAAGAAATTTTTTTTTTTTTAGACTTCAATATCCTAAACTATAGGATATGAAACAAAAATTGAATTTATCAAATAATCCATGTTCTTATTTTAATAAAAAAAAAACAAAAATTACATTAAAATCAAGATCGAATTGAATATTCAAATAAGACTGTTACAATTTTAGTTCAATGAAATAAAATTGTGAAATTAAAATTTACCGATAAAAATTGAATTGAAAAATAAGACACAAGTTAAAAGAAGATAATTTTTTTTTCTCTAAAATAAACGAACTGGAAAAATGGAAAAAAAAATTGAAATTAATAATGTATTTTAAGTTATCGAAAAAAATCATTTTTCTATAGGCTTTGGAACCATATATTCAAAGTTCAGTTCGCTTCAATTGTTCCTCTTGGCTCGCCAAGTGAACAAGCGGCAATAATTGCCCTTGACATAGTAATTAAGTCAATGATACAAAATTCTACGTGAAAATAATAGGATTTTTTAATATAGAAGAAAAAAATTTTTTTTTTTTTTGCTAAAATTTTTTAAACATTCTCACTAATCTTCTTTTTTTTATTTAATTATAAATTACTAATTTCTATAATTGCGAAGCATTTGTTTTTTTCCGTATTCTGAAATCTGTTTTGTTATAAA